ATAGCCCCTCTAGGGGCCCTCTTAGCCGTTGGCATAAAAATTGCTTGGGCCCAAACTTGACATATTAGTGTACATCTACCCTTAAAGTTTGGTTAAAAAATATTAGTTGCACCGCGATCATCCAGATCGTCTAAAGCCATACTTCCACCTTCCACCGTACATGTATTGGTAAAGAAAATCCAACTTTATAGTCCAGTCAAAATAGACATTTCACTTAGCCAAAATTCGCATAGGGCTGAAAATTGGCAGAGACGTTAAATATGTCATTATAAATAAAATGTCCCCTTCGGTCGTACTTCTGCAAAAAATTTCATCAAGGTCAAAAGTGCAAAATTAAGGTTTTTCCATTTTTCTCGAAAACGGTAAGTTTTATCATGAAAACAGGTCAGACAAAAGTTGTAGATCATACAATTTTCTACAAAAATGGTCCAGTCACTTTTTCACTTACGACTCACCATACGTGAGATATCGCATTTTTAATCATTAGAAAATTCATATTTTACATAATACGCACACCTGACCTTTAATAAAATTTTTTGCAGAAGTACGATCGAAGGGGACGTGACATTTTATTTATAATGACGTATTTAATATCTGAAAATTTTCAGCTCTGCGAATTTTGGCTAAGTTATGACTTATTTTTGTCTTTTTTGACTGGATTATTACACAAAGTTGTACTTATTGATATACTAGCACTCCTAGTTGCATCACACCATCACTATTAGGGTTCCGAACCCTCTCGGATTGCCCGAGAGACTCCGGTAATAATGGTTAACTTCCCGGGGTGCAATAATTTCTCCGGTTTTTCGAAAATTATGGAACAAGTATGGAGCAAGGAAAGAAACTGAATGAATATTTCTTTAGTAAAAGCGTAGCACTCCTAGTTGCATCACACCATCACTATTAGGGTTCCGAACCCTCTCGGATTGCCCGAGAGACTCCGGTAATAATGGTTAACTTCCCGGGGTGCAATAATTTCTCCGGTTTTTCGAAAATTATATGCATCCGTATTTTTTTTACGAAATCGAAGGACAGAAATCCCTGTAGTGAATTGAAAAAAATTGTCACGTTTGTTCTCTCCATTCCCGTGTCTAATGCTTCTTGCGAGCGCGTATTCAGCATTATGGAACAAGTATGGAGCAAGGAAAGAAACTGAATGAATATTTCTTTAGTAAAAGCGTAGTTACAAATATTAACTTCGATTTTTTGTGTAAATTTTGTGGTAAAAAACCGTTCATTATTATATGCTGCTCGAAACCAAAGTAAACATAAATTAAAAAATTGATAAATGATTGAAATTTTCTTTCAACTCCCCCCCCCCTACTCAACTTTTTTTAAAGTCTGCCGGGTTGGTCCTTTCGAGAGTTGGCAACCCTAATCACTATGGACAGTAGATTGAACTCACTTCAAACGTTCGCCCAGCCACAATTGCTTTTGGCGTTTTGTCAGTATCCTTTCGTATTTTTATTTTCTTACAAAGTTGGTCAGCAACTGTAAACAGCGATGAATTGAGGCGATTACAAATTTTCCAATTTTATAGCAGCCGAAATGTAGAATAGAATGTTTTTTTATGTAAAAATTTCATATTTTATTATTTAATTGTTACAAACTTATGATGAGACTGTTTGTACAAGTGAAGTTGTTATTTTTTCGATGGTAAATTGCTAGTTATGACAAAGAAACACCTGCATTTGTGCAATGACAACAATAAAACTTTCGTGGCATTTGAAAACACCAAGATTTGATTTATTTACAAATGAAATTGCTTGGAAGCGAGGAATTGATAATTTAATTGGTAAATTACCAAATAGCGAGCGTTTCATATTGATTTTTCTCTTTTGCCATCGAAGTAAATCCGCAAAACGGAAGTTAAACTAACAAACTGTCGCATTCAGTTCTCCAACCTTTTCCTGTTTTCCGTAAATCGTGTCGATTTCGTGTTACGGTGTTTGATTTTGTAAAACAGTGAAATCAGTTTTTTATGACATGCCTCAAATTTTAATTTCATTATTAAATAGTTGATATTATTTCCTTTTTTAACAAACAAATCGTATTTGATTTATTAGAAATCCGAGATAAATTGAACCATGAAAAGTTCAATTATAAAATAGTTTTTAACATAAGTAATAGTTCTTCCTCCCTATCAGTCACTGTGAGGTCGAAACTGTTAGCACCATTGCGTGGAGTGGTCGAAATTCACTTTCTTTGCGTTAAAAATTGTTTGAAAAATTAAATTTAAAGGAATTGTTTGTAAGTAGATATGCAACACATCGTACACTTTAGCATAAGAAATTGCTGATACTAACTACGTAATACTACTTTGCCCTGTGCAGACAACACTCATTTCTTTTATATATAATATTAATTATTTTCTAAAAAATTTTGAAGAGAACCTATCTTCAGTGAGTATTAGTCCATTATAAACATTGTAAGTGTTATTAGAAACAGTAACATATGAAGTATTCGGAAAAAATCAGTTTATTCCAAATTAGAGCAAATTGAATTTGAAATCGGGTAAATTGAATGTATGCAAAAAACCTTTTGCTATTTATCAAGTTAATGTTTTTTATTTGAAGTTAGGCGTAACAACCGGACACCGATTGACTCATGGTGAGCACTCTCACCCATTAAAAAACCCCAATTTATTAAAACTTTCTTAACCCAAATGAATGAGAAAATAATTATGTGTTATTCAAAAAAAGTAAATTGAAATAAAAAAAATTGATTCGACGTTTCTGAATATTTATTAATTTTGATTGATTTCAATTAAGTATTTTTTTTTGCATTTTATTACGCATCTTCTACGTGTAACCATTTCTGTATCATATTTGCTTGAAAATGGGTGTTAAACCCTGGTTTTCCCTTTAACGCTGCCGCATGTATTTAAATTATATTCCATCTAAATTCTCGGCTTTATGTTAGCAAATAATAACACCCTTATTTCAAAAATTTCATTGGGTTGAACCACTCATAGTTGTTATTAGTATTAGTTTTAACGTTTGTAAAATGTCGCTAAAGATATAAATGTAGTTAAGACGTTCAAAATTGGCATAGTCTGCAACAAAACTGTCGCATTTATTGTCATTTCTTCTTTCAACTTACTAACTAAACTAGAGCGGTTGCTGACAGAACGCCTACTTTTACTCGCGACAGACGTTGTAGGGAATATCGCAAACATAAAAAAGAGATGTCAGGTGGGAATTGCAGCGGACACTTATAAATAAAATGGAATAACATCACACCAATTAACGTTTAACAGAAAGAGATGCAAACAAACAGAATTTGAAGATATTGCCAGCATCGTACTTTAAAGAAAGTTCAACATTCTCAGGAATTTAGGAAAGCAAAGATACCTGTTTAAAGATATAATTCCAATCAGACAATTATAAAGCCGACCCTGATCTTTTGCGTATCTAAGCAACCTCTAGCCGCTGCACCACTTACTATTATTCGGTTATCCCTTTTCATTTTGTCTATACTAAGCATGAAGTGTTTCTTAACTTAACGTGGGAGCGTGTTCAAAACGCAACAAATGGCTGCAATCCTAAGTGGAAACAAGAAAGAAAATACGTCCATTCTCACAGATAATTTATTCCGGACTTTGCCAGAATTGATCGCCCCAACTATACCTATTTTTGCGGTAATTCTGCAGCATCTATACGCCAATCGCCATCCTATCACTAGCGAATGGTACTAATAGTGTTATGTTCATTGTTGTATACGGTGTATTCGACTACAATTTCCGATGTAGTTGCATTCGCGATTGTTTTCAGGCTATGCACCGTACCGAGCTGTTTGACTACCGTTTAACGCAAATCGAAAGAACCGTTGTTTACATTTAGTTCCAGCAAAGTAAACTATTATTAAATAACAATGACCCGTCATCGTATATGTATAGTTGTCCCACTACATTCGCATTAGCGACCTAGATCCATTCCCTCAGCCCTAACCCGGTTTCATTTGTATCGTCTGTTTTATAGCTTAACTTACTCTTTGTTTGACATTAGAGCGCTATTGAAGATAGTCCTGCGTAAACGTACAGGGTGTTTGTTTATTTACCCACCTTCGTATCCATCTATCATTAGAATTTAGTGAAGATCCATCGTGCATCACTCATTGTATTTTCGTATAATTACGACTAACTTAAATGTATAATAAGCACAAATAAAGCAGGTAACTCAACAGTTCCACCATAAACACTGCAACTCTCAGAATAACGTTACCTTCAGACTTTTTTTATATATATAATTGCATCAGTTTTGAAACAATGTGGCATTATTAAATATTGTTAGGTAGGTACCTCTAGTTCAGTTAACGTTTTAAATAAATTAAAATAAAGACTAATGTATTAAATAAAACAGTGAAACATATATTTAAAAGTGCATTGTCTTCATAATGTTAAATAAATTGATACATCTTTATATTTAATTAAATTACGATTAATATTAAGCGATATTTTTTTAATTAATTTATATTATCTTAAACGTTGGCATTTTTTAACAGATAATCTTAAATAATCAGTATACATATTGTCGCGTATTCAAATTATCACTAAATTTATTTAATTATTTACTCTCTAATTAACACCACTATTACTAATTAATTTCAATTTCACTAGTATATCACACACTTTTACTTCTTCGCTTTTTTTATTTAGCATTGCTTCGCCTCGTCGCTAAAACTCGCACTGTTCCAATCTCACTACAATAATTTATAGGGTCTTGACTTGTTCTAGAAAGATCCAGAATGTGACGTCTAGAAAGTCTGATCTTCTTTGTTACTGTATACGTTGGGTTGCCTACACGTGACACTATATTGGGTGGCTTACATGTATAATAAATCAATAAAATTTTCAAGTTCATGCCTTAATTTAAAAATAATTCAAGTTCGAAAAGTACCACTATAATTTCGGTTAAAAACATTTTTTACATTTTATTTTAGAATCTTATTGTTTTGATTGCATTTTATTTGAATTTAATATCCTTTTTTAACAATTGCAGGGGTCCTGGACATGACTGCCACGGAGAACACCATCCGTTTCAGTGTCCACACCCTGGACAAAGCCACGAAAGCAAAAGTCACCTTAGAAAATTATTACAGCAATTTAATTGCGCAACACGTTGAACGTAAGCAGAGGTAAGAAGCAAATACGTTATCTTAGTCATCTAATATCGTATCCCATCGTATATAACAACCTCATTGTATCTACAATACACAGTCATTGATCTTTTATTGCAAATCACTTTCCTTTTACAGCACACACACACACATACATACACACTATCCTATATAAGTATACGTATGCTTTTTAATCGATAAAAATTTTTACAACATAAGTCATTCACGTTATTTTTTTTTTTAATTAAGGAGAAACCAAATTTCAAATGTTTTACTCCTCTATATGTAGATATTTGTTTAAATAAGGAAATATGTAATTGTTTAATTTATTCGATTTTTCATCAAATTTTATAAGGCAATGCGAAATAAGATTATCTACATATCAAAGTATTTCAATAGTGGATCCATCTGCATTATAATCGTGTTCATTAGTTTTACCCACGAGTGATGTCATGTGGGCAAAAATCTACCGCAAGGCCTGTAAAGTTTAAAAATTTGCCGGAAGATGACATTTTACTTACCCTTTAAATTGTCGCCAGTATTATTATTATTGTACATTCGATTGTTGGTTTTTGTAATATTTTTAAAAGTATCAATTTATGAAATGTTTTTCTAAATCTAAATTTACCCTCTCATCATCCCTTATGCATAATTTGTTTTATTTTGGTCAGGTTAGCAAAATTAGAAGAAACTCTTAAAGATGAAAGTTTATCAGAAGAGCAACGTCACGAAAAGCGTTTGCAACATGCACAGAAAGAAACGGAGTTCCTTCGACTTAAAAGGTCACGATTAGGAGTCGAAGATTTCGAACCGCTTAAGGTTATAGGAAGGGGTGCCTTTGGCGAAGTGCGATTGGTCCAAAAGAAGGACACGGGTCACGTGTATGCCATGAAGATTCTTCGCAAAGCGGACATGCTGGAGAAGGAGCAAGTGGCTCACGTTCGTGCCGAAAGAGACGTCCTGGTCGAGGCCGATCACCAGTGGGTCGTGAAGATGTACTACAGTTTCCAAGATCCCATCAACCTCTATCTCATTATGGAATTCCTACCTGGGGGTGACATGATGACGCTTCTAATGAAAAAGGACACATTGTCGGAGGAATGCACACAATTTTACATTGCTGAAACTGCCCTGGCAATTGATTCTATCCACAAGTTGGGATTCATTCATAGGGACATCAAACCTGACAACCTCCTTCTAGATGCTAAGGGACATCTAAAATTGTCCGACTTCGGACTATGTACAGGACTTAAAAAGTCCCATAGGACCGAATTCTATCGAGATCTCAGTCAAGCGAAGCCATCAGATTTTAGTAAGTACCAGTTAAGTATATCGCCATTTTATTTTAATATTTATTTTAACTTTTGTAGTAATAACGTCGAGTCCGATGGACAGTAAGAGGAGGGCGGAGAGTTGGAAGAAGAATCGGAGGGCGTTGGCGTATAGTACAGTTGGTACGCCAGATTATATAGCACCGGAGGTGTTCTTGCAGACGGGTTACGGTCCCGCGTGTGACTGGTGGTCCCTGGGCGTGATCATGTACGAAATGCTCATCGGTTATCCGCCATTCTGCTCCGAGAACCCTCAGGACACATATAGGAAGGTGATGAACTGGCGGGACACGCTCATCTTTCCAGCCGAAGTACCGATCTCAGAAGAGGCCAAAGACACTATTATAAGGTCAGTAAAATACACATGCATTCCATAACTTCTACCCCTTTCAATGAATTATAGCTAATATTAATGTCTACAAGCTTGAAGCAGTGCTTGTAATTATTAATTATTCCCGCTTAAATTTTATTTATTTGGTGGTCGTTAAATTTATAATGCAATATGAAAAAAGTAAGTTTCATGATTTAAATGTTTTTGAAGTGAAACTCCTTTGAGCTCGATGGGAGTAACGTCTCAAGGCCATGAAACGACACGTTTTGCAACGTTTTGTCTCGTGACGCGATATGCTACGAGAATAGAAAGGCGCGCATGCGCATATCGGTATTACAGTCTGCTGTTATTGACCGGCATCTCATATATTATTGTATACTGTGTATTCACTATACTATAGTGCTAAATTAATTAAGAGTATTATTATAATATATTNATTGCTATAATTATTATTACCACAAAAGAAATGATAATAAATTGAAAGCCGACCGTAAGCAAACAAAGATTATAGTTTTCTACTGCAGTAAACATAACACAAAGAACAACATATAATAATAATTATAATACAATATGTGTGTATATTGCATGTGTGGCTCCGAAGAGGAGGTTAGTGTTGTAGCAACACCGTTCTCTTTCGAACTAAAGTTTTCTCTCATTCTGTTTCCAGAACAAGAATGGATGGTGTTTATACAATATCTAAATAGTACTCCTAGAAGATTATTATTATTTTTTGTTTTATCCGCATTGCCTCTCTTTTCCTCGCTAAATGTGTATTTATTATAACGATTATTTTCTAAGAATAAGTCGATGATGATAATGAGGACAAAAACAATTAATTAATTTGTTAATTATTATATCGTGAGCTGTGAATTAGCGCACGACTTTTCGACAAACTGAACGATATAAAATGTGAATACAATAAAATTTTATTTTCTTTCGTACACTATACAGGATGTTCGCTACTACAATTTCAGTGGGCATCGTTTGTTTTTTAATATATTTTTTTTTTATTATTATTGTTAGTGTCGAAAAGCCGTGCGTGTCTTGTGAATATTTCTTTTCCCTTGTTGTAAAGGAGAAGGTAACAATTTCCCTACCCTGTTTTTCTTCCCATTTTTTTAGACTAATAAGATAATATTATGTTAATTCGTTTCTGTTATGAAGTTGGCAAACTTTAGTGAGAGTTTTCTATATTAGGATTTTTTCGATGATTTTAAATTTTCGTTAATTTCGTAAGAAATAGTAGAAAACAAGAAAACAATTAATTAGTTGAATCAAATGATAAGAGAAATCGAAAAAAAAATGAGTATTGTATTAGATTTTTAAAATAAGCTTTAACCACCATCATTTTTTTCTTTTTCCTTGGTTAGTATGATTTGCGCGAAAAGCAATTTTAAAATGATTTCGTCCCGAGGGATAATTAATTCGATTTATTTTCCAGTGTAGTCGAAAAAAAAAAGCTTTTTGTGCGTCCTTAAATGTAACATTTCCGTTTTAGTTTTTATTTTTTAGAATTTCCTTCCTACATGACTGTTTAGTACAAAAGAAAATGTTCACTAAAAACCTTATTAACACCCAAACCTTTTAAATTATTCTAATATTATCTTCTGAAAAATATTAACATTTTTTAAAAGTTAAGTTCAAAGAGAATGGAGTAATTGACGAGTCTTAGAAAAGAAAGCAAACCGTGTTATTTAAGAGTGTTTATAAATGATAAATTCTAATTAAGTTTTTAAAAATCTCATTCCTTTAGTGTTTGTTTTCAGAGTAAATTTACTGTTAAATGAATTTTTATTTTAAGAAATGCATTATACTTTTACTTTTTACCTTTTTTATCTTCGGTGATAATAATAATTAAATTTCATGTTAGAAATTTCTCAAAAATAAATTTTCGTTACCACTTTTATTATCTAAATTGATAACAAATTAAAAATAGAACGTTTGTGAACACTCTTGAAAAACGTTAATCAATTAACAAAAGTTTTTAGTTGTTATTTGTAATTATATTACCTCTTCGAGTAATCGATTCCGTCAAGAGAAAAACTGTCAAATATTCAGTCACATTATCCCTTTTAAAGATTTGAAATAGTAGAAGTATGCCCTGTTAAAGATTATTTTTCTAACATCGATAGCTCATTAAAGCAAAGCAAAAAAGTATTTTTCGTAGTTCATAAAAAATGTTTTTAGTAAAAGAATGGGTAAATTGACGTTTGCTTAGAAAAACATATCAATCCTGTTTCTTATATATATTTGAAGAAATTATTAAAGCTGTATAAAAATGGTAGCTCTCTAACGACGCACTTCTGTTGCACCGATAGATTGTATAATTGACAGTTTGGTGCAAAATTAGGTAGATTTCGTTTTTGAAAATAAAACACAATTCACACACTGCAGCAGGTTGTTATTTATTGAAATAATAATGGCTAAAAATAAAATAAAGTGTATTTTGTAGAAGGTTTTGCTAACACGAAACTGTACATGTAAATATGTTTAATGCAGAAAAATGTGTATAACTTATACGAAATAAAACCCTATGTGCTTAAGTAAATTACTTTACAGGACATAGCCATT